GTGTGATAAGTTTGAGGAGCACCAGTGTATTGCATTCTTATGTCATGTTATGTAATATTGCTCAGATATGGAAGAGTATCCAAAATTTGTACTCAAATATCTCAAGAGTAACGATACTTCAAATAATATTACTCGAGTAGAAGCACCACGTAGTGATCCAAGAAAGTATTCAAGTTAGAGTAAAAAGTATTTGGGAAAACTACCACTCAAGTAAACATAATATATGATTTATAATTTGAAGTTCATGTAATTAGAAGGACAAACATTAAATGAAGCAGAAAATGTGGTGTATATACAAACATAGTAATGACACAAACTAAATTATATCTGAGGGAGCAGTGTAAGAAACAAGAAGCACAACTTTTACTCAAGTAAGAGTACTGTTACTTCTATTAAAATATTACTCAAATATGCTGCTATAAAAATTCTCTTAAAAGTAAAAATTGTCTTAAAAGTTACTTTAGTAAATGTAACTGAGTACTACCTATCTCTGACAGTAGTAATGATGTAGTCAAATTTAATTTTGGAATAGTTCCATTATAGACCTGGTTGAGATCTGGTGGTACTCAGAAAACCACTTGTGTTCTTAGGTGGTACTTGAGGTGATACACTTGAGAGCCCTGACCTTTTGCTTTCTTATGTCATGTAATATTGTTTGTATTGGCACATTTAGAAAAAGAATGATTTCTGTATATTGTGTCATGTGGTTCTATTTAAAGTGACAATGAACACCTAAACTCCGCCCACAACCACATTTCAAACAGAGCTGCTAAACGGGGCAGTACCTGGAGGACTGAGGGGAGGGGCGGGGTCTGGAGGAGGGGCGGGGTCTGGAGTTATCAGGAATAGTGTGTTTGTTTTAACAGGTTTCCACACTTCAAACTCCGCCTCTGCAGCCAAGTGTCCCCTGATGTATTCAGGGCAGTCTTATGTGATGTCACGCGGTGCTTGAAACTGTACTGGCCACTGAAGGCAGCACATACATTAGATTTAGTAGTCTTTGAGCATAAACCTGCACATGTACCTAGTTTGCACTGAAGTTCAAAAATGATTAGGAATAGAAGACAGTGTTATTCAAACACCATATACAGTTTAGCAGTGAAAAATGTGGATGTAGTGTTTAGTTCTACTTTAAATCCCATTTCCACCACTTTGACAGACATTTGCATCATTAATGGCAGCAAACTGAAGCTGCTGAGCTCTACCTCTACACAAGCCCCGGAGGACAAAGTGCCCAGAAGAACCAGGCTGTCTGCTGGACCTACAGGCATCATAGTAGTAGTAGTGCAGTACTGCGTGGGGTAAGGCAAGGCAAGTTTATTTGTATAGCACAATTCATTTAAAAAGTAATTCAAAGTGCTTTACAGAATAAGAACTACATTAAACCACAATACAAACACATCCAAACATAAATAATCATCATAATACCGAAAAGAGAGAGAGAGACATTAAATGAGAGAGAAGAGTGTGGAATGAAAACCTTTCAGCCATGTGCACTGTAAAACAGAACTGTTTTGAGCCTGGACAGTCAAGGGGTACTGCATGAAGTACTGTGTGAAGTACTGTGTGAAGTACTGTGTGAAGTACTGCGTGAAGTACTGCGTGAAGTACTGCGTGAAGTACTGCGTGGCCTGTGGGAACTGTTGCAAAGTGTAAAACGTGGTTTGTAAATTTTGTAAAAATTGTTTAACATTTATTTAAATGTTTTGGGGGAAAAAATAAATAAAAAGCAGCAATGATTACTGTAATATCTCATGTGCTTCTTGTCTGAGGAATGATGCTTTCTTTTACTGAGGAAACTGAGAAACATGCCCTGAACTCCACATGAGCATGAATCCTAGCACACACTTCAAGAGCAGGCCTGCTGTGTGCTATTTGAATTGATTTGTTTGGAGGATAAACCTCTTGAGATGTCTTGCCATTTCATTTTCGAGGCGGTCCTCAATTGATACTTTGCTGCTGATGTCATCAACATTTCATCTGTATCTGGAGTTGTGAAGCTAACTGAAAGCACTACTCTGCCTATATATATATATATATATATATATATATATATATATATATATATATATATATATATATATATATATTGTAATGTAGGTTGACCGTGAGCGGCTTGGGGTTCAGTGAGCAAGGTAAAAAAACAAATCAAACACAGACCGGTACTTGTGGTCCACAGTTTACTGTTGTTTTTTCAATGATTACAAAAGTGCAAGTGCAAAAAGTGCAGGGTGCAAAACGGAGGCAGGCAGCAGTTTCCTCTCCAGCAGCAGAACACAGACTGATCTTGAAGGCGCCTTTTATGCTGGTCCTACTGATTGGATAAAACCACTATGCTAAAACAGGGATGGTTAAAATTATCATTAGCGTAAAATTAAAACCTAAACCTCCATAAAACAACCCAAAACACAGATAACTATTAAAACCACCAACTATATACATAAAACCCTAAAACCATTACACCAATTAAATGTTAAAACCCATAAACCAGTAAAATACCTAACCTAAAACCCCTGTACAAAATGTTACACGTGGTCCAGCCCGGAACCATAAAAGAGGGAGCTCGTTTCCGGGGGACTCTTTTCACACCTGGACAGAAGATAAAAAGGGGAGGTAAGTAAAAGCAGATCCACCATTCATTAAAACACAATAAAATACACTAAACACATCAACACTTAAAACATTCTAAAACAGATATTGCACCATATTTATTGCACAAAGTCAATTTAAAATGTAATTTATTATTGTCTCCCTTTTCCTCCAGGGACAAGCAACTTCCAATTAAAGTGCTGTGCCTCAGGAATAAAAAATGGTTAAAGGAAAGCCAATAAATATTTTTTTTAAACCAATTGTGTGCAATTTATTTTGTGATGTGCAAATATGTTAAAAGTGCTGTGTGCTAGGAAAGTGCAGTGTTTTAAAGTGCTTTAGTGAAGGGTGAAGGTGCTAAGTGTGGTTCTGGGGAAACAAACCAGCCTGTTTGTATATATATATATATATATATATATATATATATATATATATATAGTTAGTGAGTAAGTATGTTTTAAGAAAAGATTTAAAAAGAGGGACAGAAGAGGCAGCTCATTCACAGTGTGGCCTGGTCTCCTCTGACCCCTCTGAGCTTCAGGCTGCTTTTGCTCAGGAGGAGCTGACCAGCTCAGAGAGCGCGCAGGAGCTCAGAGGGGTACGTGGGGCAGCACTATTCACTTTAAACACTTCAAAACAAATCAAAGCAAAGTGGGGCTACAGTGGCTCAGTGGTTAGAGCAGTGGTTCTCCAAGGTTGTGTATTAAACATTTATGAATGAAACAAAACACAATTTTAGGTCCAGTCTGTTCGTGATGAGGAAAGTACATTAGAACAGAGATCAGAAAAGTATAATATGGGCCCTTTAATAATTCCCCATTGACTGTCGACAGTGTCCAAAACTCCAAAAGGGAACTGATCTGATGAATCAGATCCAAATGCAAATGGAACAAAAAACTGTAATACTGAATGCTGCTATTATAGCACTGACACAAAGACCCTGCAGCAGCATTATCCCCAAAGTATTCAGAAAACATGAGCTGCACTAAACCAGAGCAGTGAAACACTTGAAGATTAGTTTTCATCTACAGTGAGCCATAAAATCATTTCTTCATTTACTGGTTTATTTCAACAGGGACCAGGTGCAAACACATAATCTCATAAAAGAAGATCTGCTTTACACCAGATTGAGCTAAAGCGTTTTTCCCTCCACAGCTCTAGCAGCTCTATTCAAATACATACACTGAAATATATCACAGCACATTTCCACATCACAAATACTAATTAGACATGACCACATAAGCCAACGTTACAAGTGACCACATGTAAATCCAGCAGAGTGTTGACAGAGATGACTTTTCTGACATTAGAAGAGAAGCCCCTGAACTCAGAGGAGTGTCAGTCTCTCTGGAGCTTGTCCTATTTTACACAAAATGTGAGCTTTAAGCCATGATATTATGTGGTTACATCATTAAAAACATACCGAAAAGACCGAAAGAGGCTGTGATTTTAGAAAAGGAGCCACAGTCACAGTCAGAGGTGAGAGTAGAACAGTGACAGTGCAGGACAGTGTGAGGACAGTGTGAGGACAGGGTGAGGACAGGGTGAGGACAGGGTGAGGACAGGGTGAGGACAGTGTGAGGACAGTGTGAGGACAGTGTGAGGACAAGGTGAGGACAGGGTGAGGACAGTGTGAGGGCAGGGTGAGGGCAGGGTGAGGACAGTGTGAGGGCAGGGTGAGGGCAGGGTGAGGACAGTGTGAGGGCAGTGTGAGGGCAGGGTGAGGGCAGGGTGAGGGCAGGATGAGGACAGTGTGAGGGCAGGGTGAGGACAGTGTGAGGGCAGGGTGAGGACAGTGTGAGGACAGGATGAGGACAGGGTGAGGACAGGGTGAGGGCAGGGTGAGCATCAAACCTGTTGCTGTGAACATTATATTTTTTGATTAAGGTCTTTCACAAATGGAGGTGGCGTAAGTTCAGCCTAGAATGAACTAACTTAGCTCCAGTCATCCATGCATGTTTGAGTAATCTAGGAATCTTTGGCGGGCCCTTTTGGAATCCTCTTTACAGTTAGCAGTATGATCCTGTCCAATGCTCCACCCACAAGCCTACATCACTCATGCTCCCACAGCAATCCTCCAAAAGTAAAAAAAACCTTGATACAAAACGATACACTACAACTTGACAAACCCGATACAATGTGCAGCACTTTCATTATCTCGTTGTACGCTGATTGCGCTCTGAAGGGGGAGTGACATTTGACTCAGAGCCCAAAAGTGAAAACATGTCGTTTGTGCCTTGAAGGTGGCAAGGTGCTGTATAAAAATTTGACCATTTACCATGTTAATACCCCCAGTTAATAGCCCCATAGAAGTAAAATACTCCTCTTTAATGATCAATCAGCAGTTGAATTGTTTTCAGTAAGGGCTACATTTGACACCTGAATGACCTGAATGACAGACACAGGACAGATTTGTGGATGAGGACTTTTATTAGTCACATCAGAGCAGCAGAGTAGTTAGCTCAGAGCTGCCTCGCTCCCGTAGGCCTGAAAAGCAGCTCTTCATTTTCTCTGCTGTCTTCCACAAATCAAACGCAGCTCCCTGATCCCTGAGGAGCAGGGATCAGATTACTGTCAGGAGGAGGTCTTCTGCACCACAGTCCGCTCTGAGCTGCCCATCTGAGGGGAGCCTCTAGCTCCCGGGTCAGAGCTCATCATGCACGACTTCTCTCCTGGAACAGACAGAATAGAGGAATAAGTAGAGTCACAGATGTTAAAGATGCACTTTTCTAGTGGGGCTCAGTCGATGACATCTCCATGACCATAATATCTCCATAGGTAAGAGCAGCAAAGTAGTACAGTACTAATATTTCAAACTTGATTTCCTTTTATTTTGTGAAATATAAAAATGTAGTACTTTCTTTTCTATTCCCATGTGTCTGATATGTGTATAATCCTCAGTGGTCAGTTCAGGTAGGTTCATAGTGTCCATGTGTGTAAACTAGTCTGTGTGCTCTTCTACTTCTGATACAGCTCAACATCATTCTAAAGACAATCAGGAAACTTTCATTTCTGTCCTGTCCATGGGATTTTTTAAGTATCTGCTGAAAGTATCTAGCTTCAATACTAGGTTAAGTATTGATTAGCGGATGATTTTCAATACTTTTCTTACATCCCATTTAAAGAAGGTTTAAAGATATATTCACAAATATACCAGTTTGAAGTCATGCTAGTCTTTATAATGTGCTTTGGTTCATTCCAGTAGAAAGAGCTCCTCGCATTAGGTTGCCAGATCTTATGAGTAAAAAGAGTTTGAGGTAAACCCAAAAGGGCTCTGATATGATGTGCCCTCAGTATGTGGCACATCAGGTTTAGTTGTGGAGGAGTTGTGGTCTGTATGGTGGCCTTTAAATTTAAAAATCAGCTCTGATCTGTACACATTGTTTTTGTAGATTTTTACAGATTGATTTCATGCGCTGCCTCGTGTGCACACAGTAGAGTGAAGTGTGCTTTAGAAAAAAGAGCACTTTTTGATCACAAATGTAAGTACAGGACTAATCAGCCACAAAAACAGAGTCACATTTGCTCTGAACAAAAGCTGACAAACCTGAACCAAAAACTACACTGGAATTTAAACTGGAAGTTCTGGATAATCCAGTATCAGAATGAATGTGGAAAAGTTCAGTATTTGACTTAAGTTAAAAAAAATAACAAATTTTGTATTTGTGTGTTGAGTTTTGTTTCATTCCCACATGTTTAAACGCACAAACCCTACATATTTAGACTGTTCTGCTCTCAAAGTCTGAGTCTACACACATCTCCACTAGAACCATCTGAGCTCCTACACCAGACTTTGAAGTTACAGCTATCGTTTTAGCCTCGTTCAAACTTCTCTGTGCAACAGAACATATTGGAAACTTTCTATTCTCAACTGACCAAAAGGTAAGACAGAAAGACTTACATAAAAAGCAACACATGAAGATGATTCTAGGGTATTGTAGAGGAAATCAGTTCAATTGAGGGTAAATATATGTTAACTTTAAAACTACCACACAATGACATCACAATGTGAAACAGAGCAGCTTTGTAGATGTAGACAGAATTACTGAAACACGTGTGAATGAAACGAACCACAACTCTGGGTGTGTTCTGGTACAGGTACAAGAGTCAAGTTTGCATAATATAGCACTTTGAAAAGTTTGTCATTAGCCTTTAAACTTGCTCTTGAGTGCTTCTGCTTTGACATGTCATGTTTTAGAACTTTAGAACTTTAAATAATGGCCAACACTGGGAAGTGGCTTTAGGATGCCATTTTCTGGCAGCAGAGGAAATTACATTTGAAAAATTTCATAACTACTAAAGATAAACACTTTTTTCACGATTTGAGATTTGGAGTTGTGGACTTAAAAACAGCAGCTTAGAAGGAGTGGCCTTGTTAAACAAGAATTCATCAAACAAGCTGAATACAACTGCAGGTATGTTTTTAATGACACAGCAATGTTATAACTAGGGCTGTTAAAAGTATTGAAAATAAGTTACTAGTCAATATGAAAACTAGTATCAAAACTAGATACTCATCTGAGCAGGTATCGATACCAAAAGTGGTCACATTCACAGACAGAAATGAACCTTTCCTGAATGTCTTTAGAATGATCCTGAGCTGTATGAGAACAAGTAGAAGACACATAGACTAGTACACACACATGGACCAACATGAACCTACTGCACCCCTGAGGATTACACACAGATAACACACATGGAATAGAAAAGAATGTGCTGCCATTTAATGTGGAAAATCACATTCTATTGTCCAAAGAGTGTTTTATATTATTGTGGTAACGGAATTGGTATTGAGTATTGAGTCTATTCACAAGTACCTAAAGTAATCCACCCCACAGAGGACTAAACCAGGCCTAGAGCTGAACATGTGTGTCTCACTGTAGATCTGAGACTCCTTCTGGACCTACACATACCTTTGGCCTGTCGTCAGGAAGGGGCGCTCATGTTCTCTGGCTGCTCCCTGAAGGCAGCACGGATCTTCTGCGCCACATACCTGCAGGCTGGAGACACACACACAGAGTCACTCAAAAGCACCATGGCTTTAGAACATCAAATAGAGTTTGATAGTTGGATAATTCTATGCACTGTTAGAATCATGTTTTTATTCATTCAATCATCCTGCATATCTTTGCTTCAGATGATCTGACACAATAACAGATAAGAGAGTGTAAAGATATCCAATGACGTGTCCACTGCACGCGAAGTCGGAGGAAATGTCAGTGCTCTTTTCATATGGGTGCGTCTCAGAATATGATGATGTCATAATCCCAGATGGATGCTTCCTGTTATTCACATTAGACTACAGCATGTAATCTCCAAAAGGTCAATTCACAAATGTTGAATCGGATCATTTCTATTAGTGATTAGACCCAACACAAATCTGCACCCTCAGTGTCCTCCCCCTGCCCTCGCTCACTGTCCCTCACTGTCCCTCACCTGCTTCCTGTTTGTCTGCATTCATCTGCTCACACGCACTTAATAAAACCACCACTCCCTGAAGGTAAGCAAATGATCTTTGGGATTAGACCAAATGTGGGTTTATTAGAAATGTTTAAGAAATGTAAGAGACATTTCTTATTTTAAAAAAAAGTCACGTTCTGAAGGTGGCCATGAGCTGCATGCGTTCCCTGAAAACAGAAAGTTTAAAACCACACTTTGGAACATTATTCATGGAGACAGAAGAGTCATAGGTGTCATACTGTGGAACATTATAGCGAAAAGAACAATATCTCCATAGAAACAAGCAGGAGGAGGCTCTCCTCCAGGACAAAGAAGATGCGAGTCTACTCACATTAAATAAGAATGTTTTCCTCAGTTTTTTCAGTGCAATAAACACAACCAAAATGAAACTACACTAATGACAAAACCAGGAACTTGCAGACTTGATGCCAAAATCAAGAATCATGACTCTGGGTTTTCTTTAAAGAGCATGCTCTGCTTATTGGAACCTGATCTGACCTCTGACGCTTGGAGCTCCCCGCGTGCACCAGGACTCACCGTTAATGATCAGTCACACCATGGTTCCTCCTTCTGGACTCTTCTTGCACTTCGGGACACACAAGCCGCGCTACAGAGACAAGTTTCGAGACACAACTGGACAAAGCGGCAAGAAACTGAGCACTTCCTGATAAACAACTCTGACCCCGCCCAAACCCGCAGACCACACCCACATGTGTAAGACCACGCCCCCACACGGATTTTACTCGCTTCAATTTTGCTCAACATTAACAACTGACTCCATCTTTTTCCCTAGATGTTTGTATTTGTATATTTTGTGGGTTCAAATTTCCAACCTGTTGAAAATAAACTCTTCAAACTTTTCTGTAGGTCACACACAATAATGAAAAGTGATTTCAAGCCAAGAGTTGAGTATTTGCAAAGCCACTTGGTCCGCTGCACCATATTTTTTAAAATCCTCATGTAGCCTACTGTTGGCTGCATAGACATGATCGAAACCAATGTTGGATGATTCACAGTTACTCATGTGCTTAGGTGAGGAGCCCTTTATTGGCATAAAAACATAAGGTCACCCAGGTTCTCCGCCCAAGCGTCACGATAAAACCCCGACGTCCACACCATGTTTATAACCACGTGGATAAGAGATTTGTTTGTCAAAGTCCTTCATTTGCGGGTGTTGGGATTCTATATCATAAGAAATTGCATGATAAAAAAAAAAATCCCACTTTGGTAATTAGGTCACGTCACCCACCATATCAGCAAAGACAAAACAGTGTATGAGACAAAGACAGCTGAGGACAAACATACTAATATTCTTACACTTAATTCTTGGATTTTGGATTGACACTTATCTCGCCTCAGTTTATGGAAATTTGAATTTATTTGAATTTGAATGTATTTATTTGGAGGATAAGCCCCTTGAGATGTCTTGCCATCTCGTTTTCAAGGGGGTCCTCATAAATACAACAACAAAAGACAGATCCAGTAGACAGTAGGATACATAACTTTAAAAAAAAAAAAAAAAAAAAGCATTAAAACCACAAACACACACTCACACACACACACACACACACACTCACACTTGACTGTTTGACATATAATAAAACAGGTTTGGGGGGGGACAACAACAAATATCTGATCAGTGTGACGTAAACTGTAAGAGAATGGAATTAAATACTGTTTGAGATATTCAGGAAAACTGAGATGAAGCATTTAATGATAAATAATAACAGTGAAGTTGACGTCGGGAGGACAGAGTGAGCAGGACAGTTGGAGTTCTGAAAGGATACTGGAGAATGAATCTGCACAGACTCTTATAGAAAACGTTGAGTGGTTGGAGAATAGAAGTTGTAGTATTTTGATAAATAATATCACAGTAATATAAAATGGGAAGAATTAGTTGTGAGATATTCTTTTTCCTAACAGAAAAGCTAAAACAACTGATGAACAGATAAAGTCATTTTAAGTTTATAATAGTTTGTATGTGGGCGCTGAATGAGAGCGACAGGTCAAGCCATAAACCAAGACATTTACATTTATCAACTGCTATAATTGGTGATGAATCGGTAAATGTCAAATTTATATCATTAACAGAAAAAGGATGGATTCGTTTCTGGAACAACATAAAATATGATTTCGATGTATTAAGCAGTATATTTTGTTAGACTGTAGCCATAATTGAACAATATTAAAATCATGCTGAATTGAGTCTTGAATATCAGTAATATTAGATTTGGATGGATAAATAACTGTATCATTAGTGTTGGGGAGTAACAGATTACATGTAATCAGAGTACAAATTATGAGTAACTGTATTCAGTTACACTTACTGTTTCAATGAGTGGTAATTGGATTACAGTTACATTCTTAAAATAAATTTATTTATTTTTTTATTTATTTTTTGGTAATTTCACTCATTGCCGGACACTAAACCAGGACTAAACCAGGACTAAACCAGGTCTAAACCAGGTCTAAACTAGATCTAAACCAAGACTAAACCAGGTCTAAACCAGGACTAAATCAGGACTAAACCAGGTCTAAACCAGGACTAAACCAGGTCTAAATCAGGACTAAACCAGGACTAAACCAGGGCTAAACCAGGGCTAAAACCAGGTCTAAACCAGAACTATACCAGGGCTAAAACCAGGTCTGAACCAGGACTAAACCAGGTCTAAACTAGATCTAAACTAGGGCTAAAACTAGGTCTAAACTAGATCTAAACCAGGTCTAAACCAGATCTAAACCAGGTCTAAAACAGGACTAAAACAGGATTTAACAGGACTAAATCATGCCGCTTTGGGCTTTTTATTTTTTTTTTAGCAGACAAAACTTCTTATGGGAAGATATCCGAGTATTTGCTTCTCTACAGAAAATCAAGTAATCCAAAGTATTCAGATTACATTACTCACTTTAAGTAATTTAATGGATTACGTTACAAACTACATTTTGGGGTATGTAATCTGTAATCTGTAGGGGAATACATTTTAAAAGTCACCTTCCCAACACTGTTTATCATCGGCGTAGAGGGGAAATGCGATTATCTGTGCGTTTATGCGGCGTGCGTCCTGCAGATGGCGCTGTGTCCTCACAAAGAGACGCGCTTAATGGAAACCGAAACAAACCGAGCCAGATCTGGACCGAATCTGAGCCAAGAGTGTGAGCCATAGACGGACCGGAGCGTGTGTGTGAGCCCAGAGCCGGCGTACGTACCGTCCTGTGTCTGATCCGGGTCCGAGCCTCGGGTCCGAGCCTCGGGTCAGAGCCGCAGATCTAAAGCTCATGTGGACAGCGCGTGTTAGCCTGTTAGCCGTTAGCCTGTTAGCTTCTTCCTGGACTCATTGTACCAGACTGAATCAAGAGCTTAAATATTTAGGATGAACACAAAGCAAACCTAAGATGTTAAGATATGAATTGTGAATATGAAAAGCAGTTTTAATAATGTAGTTCTTAGGAAATAACTTGTTCCCGTTTTGGTTTCGATTTAAATGTTAATCTTCTATCAAGGTGAAGATATTATTAAGAGATTAGTTTACTGGCACATCCATTATTGGTAACAACTCAGCCAAGTCCCAGTTCAGTCCTGGTTTAGACCCTGTTTAATCCTGATTTACACCCTGTTCAATCCTGGATTAGACCATTTTTAATCCTGTTTTAGACCATGTTTAGTCCCATTTTAGACCCTGTTCGGTCCTGGTTTAGACATAGTTTAGTCCTGATTTAGACTCTGTTCAGTCCCGGACTAGACCCTGTTTAGTCCCAGTTTAGTCCCAATTTAGATCCTGTTTAGACCCTGTTCAGGCCTGGTTAGTCTTGGTACAGTCCCAGTTTAGACATAGTTTAGTCCTGGTTTAGACCCTGTTTAATCCTGGTTTAGATCCTGTTTAGTTCTAGTTTAGTCCCGGATTAGACCCTGGTTAGTCCCAGTTTAGATCCTGTTTAGTTCCAGTTTAGACCTTTTTAGTCCCGGTTTAGACCCTGTTTAGTCCCGGTTTAGTCCCGGTTTAGACCCTGTTTTAGACCCTGTTTAGCCCTGGTTCAGTCCTGGTTTAGACCCTCTTTAGTCGCGGTTTAGACCCTGTTTCGTCCCGGTTTAGACCCTGTTTATTACCAGTTTAGATCCTGTTCAGATCTGGTATAGACCATTTTTAGTCCTGTTTTAGATCGTGTTTAGTCCCAGTTTAGACATAGTTTAGATCATGTTTAATCCTGGGTTAGATCATGTTTAATCCTGGTTGTTTAGACAGTGTGTGGCTACATACATTTGGGGGGAAAAATCTCTTATTCTGCATAAAAACGTCTAACCGTGTAAGTTTAGTTCTGTACAAACGTGTTCTGAAATGGGATTGTTATTTGTATTGTATTAGTTTGTCAGTTTATATTGAAGTATTTTTGTACATTTTTCTGGACGTGCTTAAAATGTGAACTTTGAAGAGAAGCATTATTAAAACATAAATCTCAAATCTAATCACTATTTAATATTTTTCCCAAATTGTCATAATCGCCCTAAATGCCCTAATTTCAAATATTGACTTTGGTCTAGAAGTCTAGAAAACTAAAGTGTTGGTGAAGAAAAAGAAATTGTATTAAGTGTGGAGTAACTGTGAGGTAAAAAAAAAAAAAAAGAAGAAAAACAACAACTAAATTTAAAGTATTTCAAACAACAAAACTATGTGACTATGTAACTTTGTGAGTGTGTAACCTGGCTGCTGCCCCTTTTTTTTTTTTTTTTTTTTTTTTTTTTAAAGATTGATTTTATTTAAATTATTAGAAAAAAACAAATACAATACATAGATATTCTGCATTTACATTGTGGCAGGTGTAGTGTAGAAATAACACTGAAAACAAAAGAAGCCAAAGGTTCCACATTCTTGTCCCTTGCATCTCACAGTCAGTGTGTCCGTGTGTTCAGGAGACGTGAGGCTGAGCAGAGGTCCCTGCGATGGCAGGCTTCCTGGATCACTTCCGCTGGCCTGAGTGCGAGTGCATGGACTGGGGCGAGAGGAGGAACACTGTGGCCTCCATCGGAGCAGGGGTCTTGGTAAGGGTTTAGACCGGGTTTACACCTTGTTTACGACAGGTTTAATCCTGGTTTAGACCCTGTTAAATCTGGGTTAAGTTCTGGTTTAGACCCAGTGTAGTCCAGGTTTACACCGGATTTAGTCCTGGTTTTGACTCTGTTAAATCCGAGTTAAGTCCTGGTTTATCCCAATTTTAATCTTGGTTTAGACACAGTTAAATCCTGGTTTAGACCAGGTTATTCCTGGTTTAGTCTTGGTTTAGGACTGATTTAGAACACTGATCTGGTCCTGGTCCGGTCTTGGTTAAACCCTGCTCTGTGTCCTCAGTTCTTCAGTGGTTGGTGGATCATGATTGACGCAGCGGTCACGTACCCGAATCAGGAGCAGATGAACCACGCCTTCCACACGTGTGGCGTCTTCTCCACCATCGCCTTCTTCATGTGAGTTCTTTCGAACTATAAAGCAGAATTATTCACAGAAAAAGTTTTCTAAATGTTCAATATTATTAAAAATATGAGCTGTGTGAACTGAGTTCATACTTCTTCAGCTCAAATCATAGATTGCACAAAAAAATAAATGACCACAGATGTTCCACAAGTACAAGAAAACGAACACAAATACTGACCCATGAAAATGATTGTTCCATCTGTCATGTACTGGACAATAACTCACACATGCACACGCACGCATGCACACACTCACACGCATGCACACGCACACACTCGCGCTTGGTCCTGGACCCTGTTTAATACAAACAGATGACAACACTTTGATTTAGTTTGATTAAAGTAAAAGTCCTTTATTGTGTGTAATGGTCTTTACATTTGTTGATGACAAAGGCAGAGGGATTCTGTTTTACAACTCAGTGCTACTTCCTGTATTTTTGTACTTTTCTTTCAACTTTTCCCATCACTTAATTGCTGTAAAACTATGATAAATATTGACAGGCTGTATCCCACCAAACCCAGTCAGAATTAGAAAAACAATGAAACACAAAATCTCTGGGATGCACTTTAAACTCTTGTGTGTTAGATGAGGGTGGGTCTAACCGTGAGCTCTGTGCTGTGGCAGGATCAACGCTGTGTCCAACGGGCAGGTGCGAGGGGACACTTATGGAGAGGGCTGCCTGGGACGCACCGGTCAGTACCTCCTCACTCATCTTTACTGGACCCTCACAGCTCTGTACATCAGACAGAGACTGTATATAGGTGGACATACAGTATCTTACGTGCTAGCCACTGCGTTCCAAACAGGAGTGAGCGTGGACATGCTTCAGCTCCACTGACTTTGGCTCCAACTCACTCTGAATTTAAAAGTGTGGCCCCTCTCTCTGTACCTGCTGCTGTCAGGCTCCTCATTTTCACCTTAAACTGTTGGTCTGAACCTGCCCTACATGATCCTGGAGTTTTTATTTCACTATTTTGGCCCTAAATCAGGATATAAACATTAATAACAGACTAATGAGCTACCCTCTTTCCTGAGGTCACTCCTGCTAGCCTTAGCAACAGGTTTGATTGACAATGTTGCTAAGCGTCCTCTCCCTGTTAACGCAGTGGTGCAGGCGTTACCTTTAATGGACTTGCACCTGATTGGCTCTTTGGTTGCTATGATACACAAGCTTGGATTTCCAAATATGCAATGCTAGCGCTTACAGGAATGGATTTGAAGCCAGGCTCCATATAATTTTTTTTAATTTTTTTTATTTTAAGACCAAAATGATGAGGCTGTTACAGAGGGAGGGATGACTATATTCCAATGTAAGTCACTGGGAGTCAGGGTCAGTAGGAGCCGGAATCCGGGCTTCCTGTTTGGAACGTGATGGATAGTGGGTTATGTCCTTTTATCCATAAAGACAGAACCATGTTAACAGACAGGTGCTGACCCTGCTCCTCCCTCTGACAGGGGCGCGCCTGTGGCTGTTCCTGGGCTTCATGATGATGTTCGGCTCCCTCATCGCCTCCATCTGGATCCTGTTTGGGGCTTATGTTGTTCCAAGTAAGCTCCTTAAAGTGAAGCTATGAAGCCATGTGTATGTCGCCCTCACATCTGTGCTCTGTTCTCAGAGAAGGAGGTGGCTCCAGGACTGGCTGTGTTTTTTCAGAACGCCTTCATCTTCTTCAGGTGAGAAGAGCTAGAGGTATCAGGGAAAAAGAAGACTTCTATCAGATACAAAGTGCAAAGTGACTAAGAGAAATCTACTTGAAACAAGTCTTTAAAGTCTCTGTTCCTGATTTTGACTGTCTTAAAACATGAAATACTCAAATAGTTCATTTGAAACAGTTTGCAGTAGTCCAGAGTTCTTCCTCACTTACCTCATGCATTCAGAGCATCCTAATTATTCACCAGGATGAGTTTATACACAAGTGCAGATTTTTGCCATCATGGTAAAACTAATGACAGCTGTCATGCGAACCATGTACTTTTACAGTAAATCTGTACTATGCATGTGTGTTTAAAGCACAGGCAGTGCCCAGTTTTACAGATTGTGTGAAGCACAATTTGATTTCCATCAAATACAGAGAACATGTAACTATATCCTGCTCCTGTTCCAGCATAAAATATGTCAGCAAGTGTTGTCATGATACTAACTCGATACTAAGGATACTGAGTACAGATTACAATATTTAGACAATAGCATGTGATTTTCCACATTAAATGGTGGCACTTTCTTTTCTGTTCCCATGTGTGTAATCCTCAGAGGTCCAGTAGGTTCATAGTGTCCATGGGTGTATTCTAGTCTATGTGCTCTTCTGCTTGTTCTGATACAGCTTCAGAGTCCAGATCATTCTAAAGACATAAAAAAAAATGGACACTGCTTAAAAAATTAAAGGAACACGTTGAAAACGCATCACATCTCAATGTGAAGAAAACAAGTTTGATATCTATACAAATATGGACAGGGCAATGTGTTAGGAACAAAAGGATGCCACCTCTTTTTTTGGAAATAAAATGTTCAGCCTACAGAGGGCTTTGTAGACATTTTATAGACACCCTGAAAATCAAAGTGAAATAGTGATGTGGCAGGCAACAGTGTTGAGTCTGACATTGGGTTCAGGGATTTCAGCACAATACCTAATGGCAGTCAGTCCCCCCATGGATCTGCCTCCTCAGAACATCACTGACTCACCACCAAACCACTCATGCTGAACCATGGTGCAGGCAGCAGAGTGTTCTTCTTATCTTCTCTAGACTCTTTCACGCTCTCATCTGTGAAAAACACAGGGCACCAGTGGAGGACTTGCCAATTCTTGTGTGGTCAGCAAATGCCAAAGGAGCTCCTCGGTGTTTGGCAGTGAGCACAGGGTCCACTACAGGATGTGGGCCCCTAAAACCACTCTCATGAATTGTGTTTGTGATTGTTTGGGCAGAGACATTCACAGCAGTGTCCTGTTGGAGGTCATTCTGTAGGACATGGGCAGTGCTCAGACTGTTGCTCCTGCACAAAGGAGCAGATGTGGATCCTGCTGATGAGTTGAGGACCTTCTACAGCTCTGTCCAGCTCTTCTAGAGGAACTGTCTGTCTCCTGAAATCTCCTCCATGTTCTGGAGATTGTGCTGGAGACACATTCAATCTTCTTGCAACAGCACGTCCAGATGTACCATCCTGGAGAAGTTGGACAATCTGTGCATCTGTAGGGTTCAGGAATGACCTCATACTCCCAGTAGTGATGATCACTGTAGCCAAAGCAGCACTCGAGGAAAAGCCAAAAAAGACCAAGAGGGAGAAACTTGAAATGACCTCCACATGTAAAACCAGTCCTGTTTTAGGGTTTGTCTCATGTTGCTGCTCTAGTGTCACCTGTTCTTCATTTCCATGTCAAGGCGTGGCATCCTCTTGTTCCTAAGCACCTGGCAATATTTGTATAGATATCCAACAGATTTTTTTCACATTGAGATGTGATGTGTTTTCAAAGTTCATTTCATTTTTGAGCAGTATAGTTTTAAAACTATGTTTTATTATTGATTAATATTTGATTTTAATACTCCACACTAGTTTGGACTGATTGCTCTTCACCTGTCGTGTCTCACCTGCCTCTCACCTGTCTCCGCAGTACACTGATCTACAAGTTCGGCCGCACAGAAGACCTTTGGGGCTGAGCTGTCTGCAGGCACCTCCATTTTCTCCACGTTTTTATATTTCTGTACACACTGTTCTGTACGTCACTGCGAAACATCTGCATATATTAGCTGCATTCATTTGATTTTAGTTTTCAAAAGCTTAGAGTGGGGGTATTCCGCAAAAGCAAGTTGTTCCCTCATCAAAAACATGCCTGTCGTCCATGCATGTCTGAGTAATTTAGTGATCTCTCCTGGACCCTATTCGAACCCTCCTTACAGTTTCCTTTAAGATTCTGTTTAATTCTCAATAGATATACAAAAAGATGATACAAAACTATGAAAACAGAAAATCTAAACATGTGCGTTAGCAGTTAATACCCTATAGATGTAAAATACCCCCTCTTTAAGACGGCAGGATTCTTAGATGCCATTTTGTATATTACTGCAAATATCTGTATATATTTGCGTTTGCTTTCATTTCATTTAGTTTAAGATTGAGGCGCAACATTTTAAGGTAGAATTTTATGTTTTGACCTGATTTTATTTATTTTTTTTATATCTCTGCAGTCATCTGAATTTAGGCCAGATTATTTTTTACCAAATCAGTTAAATGTGTTTATCGTTCACTTTTGCAGATTTAACAGCTCACGTGGTGGATTTGTGTCTTATCAAAAATGATGAGGCTCTACTTGAATCCTGTCCTCTATTGTAAATTAGAAAGTCTAGGTTTCAGATTGAAGAGTTGAGTCTGTATGGTGAAACAGCAGGTAACAAAAAGAGCACATCCTCACACAGAAGCAGGCTCACAACATTAGCTGGATTACACTGGACTGTATATAGCCCTCTTGGACTGGTTGTGTATTGTTTGTTGTCTCTTTTAAAGGACCTATATTATGCTCATTTTGTACCTATGTTATAATGCTGTTTCCTCGTCACAAACAGACCTGGAGTTGTGTTTTGCTTCTTTCACACATGTTTGACTCACAAACCCTGCACATTTAGGCCGAGTTGTTTTCACAGACTGAAAACATTTGAAGCATTTGCATCCTGGAATGACTAAACTGTGAATCTACAGCTGTTGTTCTAGCCTCTCTAAACCGTCTTCCATTAATCAAAAGTTCAGTGTGTAAGGACATACTGGAGGCTTTTGTGGCAATCTCTCCATTTATAACAGCTCAATTAAGGCTACAAATAGCTGTTAACTTGAAAACTACCACTACATGACATCACAAGGTGGAACAGAGTGTTTTGAGCTTTGGAGATGCAGACTGACTAATAATAAAGGGTTATTCAAACGTGTGAATGAAACAAAACACAATAGTAAAAGAAACAAAGCAATAGCGATAGTCAATTTTGCATAATATAGGACCTTGAAACTGTGTCAAAAATTTGAAAATAAGCTGTTTTTAGAATAGAAGAAGTGAAAATTGTGTAAATAATATTGAGTGGCACCACAGTGTTATCCGCAGCCAAAAAGAGAATGATCTACTCTTTGTATAAAAGTGGAACTAAACACTCCATGTTTTTCACTGCTGAACTGTGTATCTGGTGTTTGAATAGTATTATCTACTGTTCCTAATCATTTTTTGGGAACTTTAGTGCAAACTAGGGACATTTGTAGCTTTCTTGTTAAAACTCCTAAATTTGCATTGCCTTTAACTGCGTCTGACTGAAAGGTTTTCATTTTTCATTCTGCACTCTTCTCTCTCATTTAATGTTTTTTCTCTTTTTAATTTTATGATGATTATTTATGTTTTGATTTGTTTGTATTGTGATTTTAATGTATTTCTTATTTTGTAAAGTACTTTGAATTACTGTGTGTACGAATGATGCTGTACAAATAAACTTGCCTTGCCTAATTAATCACAATTAACACGTTAATGTCCCACTCCTATAAATAATAATTAGTAACAGGAATTAACTTCAGTCTGGCTTTGTTCACAGCTACAAGATCTTTGATGCAAGTGTTCAGTTAGGGGATGGAAAGTTAATATTTTTCTAAAGTCTGTTTTATAACTGCTACAAATGCTGCTTTACTGTTCAAATGTGAGTTTATTTATTTTACCAAGTAAGTAAACTGAAAACAGCTTTATTTGTAATCAGAAAAAGTGTTGGTGTTGGAGAATTAATCAAAATAATAACTGGCAGAATTTTTTACTCTAGAATAATAGTGTTTTTTTTATTATTATTTGTCACATTGACTTCTGATTTACCTGATTTCTGAGAATCTGTCAGGTTTAAATTCATAAAGCTGCTTATATACACCACTCATTCAGATGTGCTTTAGGTTTTCTCATTTCTGTGTCTGTCCTTTGAAAATATCACATCATGTTCTTCATCTTATGTTTTGTATTCCAAATTCAGTTCAATTCAAATGATAAATCAGATATTATGTGCTATTGTTCAGATTTGTTCTGTACTCTTAGTCCAGTAGTGCTTGTCAAAAATACTTTTTCACTCTTACTTTAATTCCTACAACTACTTTGTACTTCTACTTGAGTAACATTATTTTTAAAAAGCATTACTATTACATTACAATATTTGGCTCCTCTATTCTGTCAATCATCAAATCATCTTTGCACTGTTTTCCTCACAGCCTCTTGTATATAAAGTTGATTTCTGGATTTATATTACTATATGTCTGTTTTGTAATATAGTTATACATATATCGGTATCGGCCAATACCAGTACTGGAACTGATATATCACCCAACCCTAATTTTCATCTTTTTTTGTCAGTTCTCTTGTTTAAAATGTGAACTCTGAACAGAACCCTTTTATTAAAACATAAATCACAAATCTAGTCACAACTGTAAATGTGGTCAAAAAATAAAAATAAGATAAAAAATTCTTCCCAAATTGTTCAGCTCATCAGAGGAAAAATTACCTAAATACTAACCAAAACACATATCGCAATCTTTCCCAGGAATTTTTAATTCTAATGGACAATAAAGGCCTAAATTATGGAAGCCCATTTCCACCAGTAAGGGGGTTTAGATCTGGTTTAGACCTGGTTTAGACCTGGTTTAGACTTGGTTCAGACCTGGTTTAGTCCTGGTTTAGGTTTAGTCCTGGTTTAGACCTGGTTTAGTCCTGGTTTAGACTTGGTTCAGACCTGGTTTAGTCCTGGTTTAGACTTGGTTCAGACCTGGTTTAGTCCTGGTTTAGTCCTGATTTAGTCCTGGTTTAGACTTGGTTCAGTCCTGGTTTAGTCCTGGTTTAGTCCTGATTTAGTCCTGGTTTAGACTTGGTTCAGACCTGGTTTAGTCCTGGTTTAGACTTGGTTCAGACCTGGTTTAGTCCTGGTTTAGTCCTGGTTTAGACCTGATTTAGTCCTGGTTAAGTCCTGGTTTAGTCCTGGTTTAGACCTGGTTTAGTCCTGGTTTAGTCCTGGTTTAGACCTGATTTAGTCCTGGTTTAGACTTGGTTCAGACCTGGTTTAGTCCTGGTTTAGTCCTGGTTTAGACCTGATTTAGTCCTGGTTTAGACTTGGTTCAGACCTGGTTTAGTCCTGGTTTAGTCCTGGTTTAGTCCTGGTTTAGACCTGGTTTAGTCCTGGTTTAGTCCTGGTTTAGACCTGGTTTAGTCCTGGTTTAATCCTGGTTTAGACCTGGTTTAGACCTGGTTTAGTCCTGGTTTAATCCTGGTTTAGACCTGGTTTAGTCCTGGTTTAGTCCTGGTTTAGACCTGGTTTAGTCCTGGTTTAATCCTGGTTTAGTCCTGGTTTAGACCTGGTTTAGTCCTGTTTAAAGTTGTGTAAACCAGTCCACAGTATTTAACCCTGTGTATAAAATTCTATTCCAGTGGACTTGATGTAAACACACTGATAGAACTGGATGAAAGAATGGAAGTGCTGATATCAGATTTGTGTCGTGTTCAGCTGAATTTCACCTGTGCTCTTTTCTCCCCTAGACACTTCAAATTCAACATAATGAACACAATCCCACTTCTAAAACATACAGCGAGGAGGAGGAGGAGGAGCGACTTTGATGGAATATCCCCCTAGTATTGAATCAAGAGAAAGAGGTAGAGAGAGAGGGTTAGAGAGAGAGAGAGGGTTAGCGAGAGGGAGAGAGAGAGGGTTAGAGAGAGAGAGAGAGAGAGAGAGGGTTAGAGAGAGAGAGGGTTAGAGAGAGAGAGAGGGTTAGCGAGAGGGAGAGAGAGAGAGGGTTAGAGAGAGAGAGAGGGTTAGAGAGAGAGAGAGAGAGAGAGGGTTAGAGAGAGAGAGAGGGTTAGAGAGAGAGAGAGGGTTAGCGAGAGGGAGGGAGAGTCAGGTCCTGGACTGAAGATCTTCAGAAAGAGCTGAATGATCTACGGATTAGACTTAAAGGAATAGAGGAAGCTACGCAGCAGATGATAACTAAAAAAATGACCCTACAACCCAGGCCAAATAGGTGAACCCGGACAAAGAGACAAGTTCATATTTTCTAGTTTGGTCAGGCAGATTGAAAGTGGACTCATTAAAAGCTACCAAGAAGATGAGATCATTGGTGCAGTGATTCGTGCCATCACACCAGGATTGCAGTTGAGGAGCTACCTTGAAGGTAAAGGTGATCTCACACTCCCTGCTCTGCGAAGGATCTTGAGGTGTCACTATCGAGAGAGAGGGGCCACTGAACTGTACAAGCAGCTCTCCTCTGAAGTGCAAAGCAGTAAGGAGACGCCACAAAACTTCCTTTTGAGAGCCATGGACCTTAGGCAGAAGATTCTCTTTGCATCCCAGGAAGCTGCGTTGAGTCTGAAATATGATCCAAGCCTTGGTTCAAAGTTTATTCATGTACACTATCCTGACTGGGTTGCAGAATGATAATATCAAGAGTGACATGCAGCCCTATCTCCTCCAGGCAACCACATCTGATCAAGTGTTGTCAGAGAAAGTGAAAATAGCATGTGCACATGAAAAAGAACGGCAAGACGAGAAGAAACGTGCTGTTCCTCAGCGAGCAACTACAGTTAACACAATTCAGCCCAGTGACACACCAGCCCCTGCCGAGAAGAAGATGGTCCAAAAACAAAGCACTGCTGTTATGCCACCAGAGCTCCTGTCTGAGATTAAGGAGATGCGCTCTGAGATGGTGCTTTTAAAGGACTTGAGAGCTGAGGTGATCAGATCATAGAGACCATGCACAAGTCTACAGCTGCAGCACCCATCCGAGGGGGGCCTGAGAACCATTACCCAGCGCAGACCTTCACGCCACGCCCACCGTACCAGGAGCAGCCCTTGCTGTACCGGTGTGAGATAGTATTTTGATCCAAGGGTCAAAATACTATATGGTATGTTGACCCCAGGGTCACTTCACCACGGTGTCAAAACCTTATACCACACCGGGAGCAACACCCACCGTGCCAAGTGGAGCCATCTGCCAGGACCTTCTACTCCCAGCGCCCCCAAGCAGCTCTTCAGATGTATCACCCTTCCCCAGGCCCGGGAACAGCGAGGGGGGGGCGCCAAATTCCAGCAGAGCTTTGCCCCTCAGCGGTACCATATGTCACGCCCACCACCCAGGTGTTACTCTTGCTTTCACACAGGGGAAGAGTTCTGTCAGCACTGTTTTACATGTGGAAGTGGTGAGCATTTTAGGGCAGGCTGTAAAGCACAGAGGCCAGCAAGACAAGCCAGGGGTAGTACTTTAAACTAGCAGGGGTCACTCCAACGGGACATGGTGTGACCATAGAGACAGTCAGGTCCCAGTGTTACGGTTGTACTACTGAAAGTGAGATTCACACCCAGTCAGTGTTAGAGCTCCTGATTGACTGTTTAGTACAGCCTCCTGTTTTAGGTTTTCCTGTCTTCTCACAACCATTTATCCTACATACAGATGCCTCTAGCCAGGGATTAGGCGCTGTCTTGTATCAAAGGCAAAATGGCAAAATCCGTGTGGTAGCTTATGGATCAAGAACACTCACCACAGCCGAGAAAATCTAGAACTTACACTCAGGCAAGTTAGAATTCTTAGTGCTTAAATGTGCAATCACATGCAAGTTTGGTGATTACTTGTACTATGCGCCCTTCTTTACAGTGTATAGTGACAATAACCCGCTTACTTATTTACTGTCAACTGATAAATGGAATGCAACAGGGTGCAGATGTGTTGCAGAACTTGCCGATTTCCGTTTTACTGTAAAGTACCGCCCGTGTAGACAGAACATAGATGCAGACAGTTTATCCAGAATGCCCTTAGACATGGAGACTTACATGGAGGAATGCTCAAAAGAGATGTCATATGATGCTGTAAGCGCAGCCATGCAGGTAGTGGACCATCAGAGTGAGTCTAATGCAGCTTGGTCTATGGGTATCTCAGCCAAGTGTGCCACTGTGTCAATAAGCACCCATAGCTCCACTCACTGTTGGACAGATCAAACAAGACCAAGAGACTGATACTATTATTGGACAGATCGTTAGATATAAACTGACTGAGACAAAACCTTCAGGTTCAGAGCTGAAACAGCTTAGACCACAGGTTGTGTGTCTCTTGAGCGATTGGGACAAGTTACAGTTTAATGACAGAGGTGTTTTGTACAGGAAAACCACAAACAGAACACAACTGGTACTCCCTGAAAAGCACAGGCCAATGGTGTTAAAGGAACTGCACGATGAGATGGGCCACCATGGCGCAGAAAGGACTGTTTCTGTTTGCCCTTCATGCAAAATGAAATCGAGGACTATGTCATGAGAAAATGTTTGTGCCTTAAAAGCAAAAGACCGAGCCGTGAGACGAGAGCCCTGCTCACTAACATAGTCATGACTCAGCCTTTGGAACTGGTCTCAGTTGAGGGGGTTACACATACATTCTTGTTATTGTTGACCATTTTACACGCTTGGCCCAGGCTTATGCCACCACATCCAAGTCTGGTAAAACCGCT